CATCTCCACTGAACCACAAGTTGCTAGTACACAGGTCCACTATTTAATCACAAAATGGCAAAACTGCATTTTTTATGGAGGATATGATTCTCTTCTTTGCTAATACCAACAATTCTCCAAAAAAAAGCCCTAGATGGTATTGCAGAATCTGGCTATTAATCAGGCTTTATCATTAATTTTACCACTCCTTGTGCCAACCTGCTTTCCTGGGTCTCCAGGGTCTCCTAGGTTTCAACACCTAGGCATAATCATTACAAATTTTATTACTTTCCCTGTACACCTTCATATGCCAGAAGTGCAAAGCTTGGTCCAAATTACCACTTTAGGTGTAGAACACATCAATCAATTTAAGATGAATATTTTGACAAAAATTCTATATATTGTCCATCAATCTTCTATTTATCTCCCCCAAGCCATTTTTTGTAAGTCGACTCTTTAGGAGGTTTGCCCATCCCCTCCCTCCAGGTTTATTATTTTGCAGCTCAACTATCCCTGTGTAAGAGATACCAAATGCAGGTATTCAGCAGGGATGATCAGATCAATGGGCTACATCTCAAGGAATCAGGAACCAGACCAAGTATGATTAAATAAATCTACAAAACAACAAAAATTATATGGGACTTTCCTGGTACAGTGTAGGACAAACAAATGTCTATAAAAATACAAATTGTAATAAATGTTACATAAAATTACATGCTTAAAAATCAATGCATGGCTAAAGAGCCCTGGTACACCATCATTATTAATATTCTCTATGTCATTATGTCCTCCAAGAGATCGACACGTTTCGCATTCTTAGCTTCTTCAGGACCTTGATTCGTGGAGACATAGAACAAAATACCCTAACTAAAGAAAGATATAAAACATCAATATCTGAACCAATAACTGGCAGCATGCTATAAACCCTGCGGACTGTCCTCTTTAAACTTACATGTCATAACAGATAAGGATACACGGCACTAGTACGCAGAGGGAGTCAGCAGAACAATTATGGGTGGGCATCCATCTATGTTTATTAAGCATGTAATTTTATGTAAATTTTAATAAAATGTAAATTTTTTAGACATGTATCTGTCCTACACTGTACCAGGAAAGTCCCATATATTTTTGTTGTTTTGTAGATTTGTGAATTTAAGGATGAGGTACAGTCTACAATTGTAATATATGACTAAATAAAGTTTATTAATATAAAGAAACACCTTTCCAACACCAACAAACCATAAACAATGTAGAAGTAAGGAATAACCATGACAGTGTAGCAAACCCAGAACAACAGCCTAACACTATGTACAAAGATGGAGGGAGCTCACATAAACAGGGCAAGATCAGGATTGGGACCAGGAACAAGGAGAGCAGAGCAGAATACAGGGTACTGAACGCAGGATAGAGGATACTGGGTGCAGGGTACTAGAAGTACGTCACAGGATACATGGTACAGGATACAAAATCAGGCAGGAACACGGCTCACAGGCAAAACACTGCGGCACAGATATCAGTTAAGGAAGGGATTATATACCTTTCCAGCAGCCAGTATGATGAGGAGCCTAATTATTTAGGATAAGCTGGTTGCTGGGAGACACCCGTTGGTGGCCACTGGAACAAAGCCCTTCGGCTCTGGGATCAACAGTGCCACCAGCAGGTGATCTTGGCACAAGTCTTGACACCCTAGCCTCTAGTTTATTCACCCCAGCACTAACAAACCTTAACTACCAGGGTGTGACCCCCCACATGCCCCTTAGGTTCTGCTTTGTGATCTATAGAAAGCGACACTAGGTACCTAGCATTCCACAAATACCTTAGGCAAGCCTAATTTGGTCCTTTACTTCCTGATTGATGTGTACCTCTATATTAATATATTACACTCCCCTATGATATGACCCCCACCTTCCTGAACTTCGTCTCATTACAGACATTGAACTTTGGTTCAGTGCAGGCCTGCTCTTCTGAAACCATCTATTGGAAAAAAGGAAGTTTGCATTCTACCGTTTTCTTAAATCTTACTATCCACTGATTGGTTGCCGGTTCCATAAATAGGTACGGCATACTGTGTAATCTCAATTTCCTTTTTAATGGAAAGGAAAGCATTGCACCCTAGCTAGTCAGTCAGCCAAGGCACAGTTAGTAAGGGCATGGTACATGATCCCCCAAACTTTTTTTTCACTATGCTAGCGTGCACACTCTTCACTCTAACAGTGTGCAGCCAGTCAGAGCAGAGATTGCCCATTTTCTGCAGCAGCTTGCAGCTTATTGACCCTAGCTCCCTGCAGAAAAGGACAAACAGGCAAATTGGCATCAAACACAGCTTACCTCTGCCCATACTCTAGCTTACATACTTCTGAATAAATACCACTTCTGTTCTGTGCTGAACCTTCTCCCACCCGTTCTGATCCAGGCTTAGGATGGAAGACTTAGGAAGGGGGTGAGTTAAAGCATCCATTGGCTGAATTGGCAGCACTAGGCAGAGAAGCTGTACCTTTGTAGGAGGATGGCAAGGAGCTTAATTCATTCTTTCTGTACGGTTGGGGTTTCATCTAAATTTTAGCAAATGTCAAGATCCCATGAACATCCTGGGTTTAGGATCCAATGGGATACATACTATAGGTACACAGGGACTGATAAGTAGACAAACATAGGTACTGGCAGGCAAAGCATGGTGCCTGCAATTTAGTACTGTTTTTAACTTAGAAATGTTTTAGGGCTTGTCAGATAAACTTTAATGAGAAACTTTGCGCTTGCATCTTAAAGTGCACCTGTACAGCATGTGCACCAGTTGCACGTCATGTTATAGAAATATAGTCAATCCATGCAATTTTGGATCACTAGGTGCCACATCCCAAAATATCATGTAAAAGCGGAAAATATACTGGATGGGGTTTTAACAGCACCACAGATGTATTATTAAATATACACCATTTAAAATAGAATATTATTTTATTGGTGCCGTTAAAATCCCATCCAGTACATTTTCTTCTTTCATATCATGTTATAGCAGGCACCTGCACATTAATGCAGCATTGTTCTGTTGAAACCTGGGAGCCCCAGCAATATAAAATGCTATCAGATCCCATGACCAAGACCCGGTGCCATCTACAGTAGATCTCACTATTGCCCCCTGCCTATGATGGGAGGTCTCAATGGACAATAAATTGTCCCTGGGAGACAGAAGTGGGTGGAGCTACGTTCTTGACCAGTGGATACTGTATTTATTTTCATAAAAGCTTGCCCCCGATGTTGAACTGCCAGGCTACTGAAGCTAAACTGATTTGTACATCTCTGGATATGTCTTCTATGGTAAAGAGATAGCAGCTTTGAAGGAGTACAGGTACACTATAAGATGGAGGTTTAAGCACTGGAAGAATTTGTCTTGCAAAAGCATTTTTATCTTTTATTAAAATAATAAAAAATTTATATTCACCTTCTCTTTGCAATACCAGCCCCAAACCTCCTCTTCTGGGGTCCCTTGCAGGCAATCTTGGCTCCTCCTCTTCTGTGTCTGCCCTATAGCAAACCGATTGTTATGGGATGTGTGGGCTTGATGTAGAGACAGGCTGTGTGCATCCATTGACACCCAGAGAGTGGCTCAGACCAACCCCCGCTCTCTGCTCACAGAATTTACTGACAGCAGAAGGAGCTAATAGCTCCCACTGCTCTTAGCCAAGAATGCGAGAGCTGGGCGAGGGAAATAAAAGCCGAAGCCGGGCACAGCACTGACTCTATACAGGACAGGGGGGAGGGCCCAGCAAGAGGCAAAATGTTTTTAACCTTAATGCAGGGAATGCATTAAGGTAAAAAAAAATTATGCTTTTAGTACCATTTTAACATTTTTATAACTCTTTTTATTGATCTAAAAAATATAAATGTTATAAAATAGAATTTTGCATTGCGCTTGGCAATTAAAATACTGAGGAACATATTGTACAAGAAAACGTTGATTGACTCATCTAAACAGTTGTTCTTGAAAAGTGTGTACAATTAGAATGTAATAAATACAGTGACTATTACATAATATGCTTTCTATATAAACCAGACCGTTTTATAGAATTATAATCACACTAATAAAGTGGTTATAAAGGTTAATTTTTTAAAATGTAAAAAATAAACACATCATGTGTATCTGCTCTGTGCAATGATTTTGCACACAGCAGCCCCAATTTCTCCTCTACTTGGGTCCCCTACCGGTACTTTTGGCCCTGCCCCCTGCTGAGTGCCCCTAGAGCAAGCTGCTTGCTCTGAGGGCACTTGTGTGTGCTCACTCCTGAGCCACCTCTGTGTGTCTATGGGACACACAGAGCGTGGCTCAGTCCCGCCCCTGCTCCCTCCTCACTGGCTGTGATTGACAGCAGTGGGAGCCAATGGCTCCCGCTGCTGTGTGTCATCCAATGAGGAGAGAGAGACCCAGAAGAGCTGATGCTCTCATGAACATCGCTGGACTGAGAGGGCTCAGGTAAGTATTAGGGGGGGCTGAGGAAGCACATTGAAGAATGCATGAAGGTAAAAAAAATCCTTCAGCTTTTACAACCACTTTAATTCCATATTTTAAAGGACTCGATGGAGTGATTATTTTCTATTACACATTACTTTTTTCACATGGTATGATTTGATTAATCCATATTGATAAGCCAGAGGAGAAGGGTACATCTGTTCAGTTTACTTTTCCTGTACAAAATCATTTTGCTATGAGGTTCTATCCTACCTGAATGTTCACATTTCTTCATATAGCAAATAGGAAAAAATATTAGCATTTACTGTAAATTTGTTTATTTAGTTTTTTTAAATGTAACACATACAGCCAGGGCTTAAAATTTCAAGTCCTGAGCTACTAGCCAGGTCTTAAGAGTTACTCGCCACCAACAAACACACACAAACAGAGACACCTGTACACACACGCATACATATACACACAGAAACATGTACACACACAGAGACACATGTACACGCACACACATACAGACACATGTATACACACACAGGCACATACAGACACGCATACACACAGATACATGTACATACACAGAAATACACACACACAGACACATGTACATACATACTGTACACAGACACATGTACGTACATATACACACAAACACACACATGTACATACACACACACATGTGCACACACACACACATGAATATACACGCAGATACATGTACAGATACACACATGTACATACACACAGGCACATGTACAGATACACACATGTACATACACACAGACACATGTACGTACAAACACACATGTACATGCACACACACATACATGTACATACACGCAGACACATGCACATGCATACACAGACACACACAAACACACACACACACGTACACGTGCTCTCTCCTCTCCCCTGAAGCCACCACTGGCTGACATAGAGGATCATGTGACCAGAGTGAGCTGAAATTAGGTAGGCGTGCACACACACACACACACACTCACCCTATAAAAAGTTGCAGTACTTCATTGTTCACTCACAGAGCCGGGTACTGCATTCTAGGGGGAGGCAGAGAGCACAGCACACACTCCTTCCTTTGCTTTCACTGCGCTCAGCTATTGAGCAGTCTGATGGCTCCCAGTGCCAATGACAGATTCAGCCTGAGCTCCGAGCCTGCTCAGCAAGATGGCCCTGGGGGACACACTCACCCCCACCATAATTTCCACTCGCCATTGGCGAGCAGGTGAGTGGAAATTTCAAGGCCTGGCATACACTATATTGCCAAAAGTATTGGGACGCCTGCCTTTTCACGCACATGAACTGTAATGGCATCCCCGTCTTAGTCCATAGGGTTCAATATTGAGTTGGCCCACCATTTGCAGCTATAACAGCTTCAACTCTTCTGGGAAGGCTGTCCACAAGGTTTAGGAGGGTGTCTATGGGAATGTTTGACCATTCTTCCAGAAGTACATTTGTGAGGTCAGGCACTGATGTCGGACGAGAAGGCCTGGCTCGCAGTCTCCGCTCTAATTCATCCCAAAGGTGTTCTATCGGGTTGAGGTCAGGACTCTGTGCAGGCCAGTCAAGTTCCTTCACCCCAAACTGGCTATGGGGCCAAGCCCAAACTCTGAAAAGCAACCCCACACCATAATCCCCCCTCCACCAAACTTTACACTTGGCACAATGCAGTTAGGAAAGTACCATTCTCTTGACAACCACCAAACCCAGACACGTCCATCGGATTTCCAGAGAAGCGAGATTCATCACTTCAGAGAACACATTTTCACTGCTCTAGAGTCCAGTGGCGGTGAGCTTTACACCACTGCATCCAATGCTTTGCTTTGCACTTGCTGATGTAAGGCTTGGATGCAGCTGCTTGGCCATGGAAACCCATTCCATGAAGATCTCTAAGTACTGTGGTTGTGTTAATCTGAAGGCCAGATGAAGTTTGGAGGTCTTTAGCTATTGACTCTGTAGGCACTTGGCGACTTCTGTGCACTGTGCTCTTTAGCATGCACTGACCCCACTCTGTCATTTTACATGGCCTACCACTTGGTGGCTGAGTTGCTATTGTTCCCAGTTGCTTCCACTTTGTTATAATACCACTAACAATTGACCGTGGAATATTTAGTAGCAAGGAGATTTCACAGATGAACTTATTGCACAGATGACAACCTATCACGGTACCACACTTGAATTTACAGAGCTCCTGAGAGTGACCCATTCTTTCACAACTGTTTGTAGAAGCAGTCTGCATGCCTAGGGGCTTGATTTTATACACCTGTGGCCATGGAGGTGATTGGAACACCTGAATCCAATGATTTGGAGGGGCGTCCCAATACTTTCAGCAATATAGTGTATGTGCGGTGGCAAAGAGGGAAGGCCGAGGATTCTGTGCTAAGAGCACACTCACTACTCACTCCCAGCACAGTGACCAAGCTCTCAGAGACAGCTCCCGATCTCTACTAATGATTTTGAGCTGGCGAAGCCGGCTGCCCCTCGTGTAACAGTCAAAGTGATCTCATGATCAGGCAGTCTTTCACCCAACAGAACGCAAAGAGTTAAAGAGACGTGGGTGCTGGGTGAGAAGGGGTTAATAATTTACTGCACACATTTTTTATATATTTCACAGTGCATATGCTGCTTCTGAATAGATCTAACATGCAATACTACCACAAAGGTTTACTTATCTAGTCTTTAATTGAAGTCTACTTTTAATGTATAATTGGCTTCCAGATAAAGCCTTACTAACAGGAGTGTGCTTGTTGTTCCTGTTCAGGCCGTCTCACACTATTACTCATGTCCTGTATCCTGCGGCTATACTAGGAGCACAGATTTCAACGTTTGAAGCTGAAGCTTTGAGCGACCCATCTGGACAAGCTATTGGGGAAACCAGCTGCAGCAGAAACTAGACACCATCTAATTGTTTCTGATGTGAGAGTATAGTGCACAAAACAACAAAAGAATAAAAAATACTGCAGAGAAACAATAGCGAGTAATGAGATCACTAGTAAACTGCTGGGCAAGTGACTCACCTGTTTGTTTTCACCCAGCTGTCTTCATCATCATAACTGATTCACAGTGCATGACACTTGTGCAGGGGTGGTGTCACTAAAACCTGTTTGGAACTTTAAGAATGTACATGAGACTTCTAAACCCAATATCTCTTTTCATGAGTTTAGAAGAACCTTCAGGGCCCATCACTTAAGTAATTATTATTATTATACAGTATTTATATAGTGCCAAAGGGTATGCTCAGCGCTGTACAGTAGCAAGGGGGACAGAACATGAGACAAGACAGTAACAATACAATACACGAGGGTTGCGAGGGCCCTGCTCTTTCGAGCTTACAATCTAGGAGGGAGGGGAAGGTGGTACAGGAGGAAATGGCTGTGGGGGATGGAGTGGTGGGAGGAGTGGAGGAGGTTAGTTGTTGGGTGAGGTCATGTGTTAGGTGAGGTTGGGGTAGGCTTCCCTGAAGAGGAGGGTTTGCAGGGTGCACCTGAAGCTGAGGAGGGTAGGTGACAGTCTGATGGATTGGGGTAGGGAGTTCCAGAGGATGGGGGAAGTCCTAGAGAAGTCCTGCAATTGGGCGTGGGAGGAGGAGACCAGGGAGCTAGAGAGTAGGAGGTCCTGTGAGGAGCGGAGGGCACGGGTAGGGTAGTATTTGGGTATCAGGTCAGTTATGTAGTTTGGGGCGGCGTTGTGAATGGCTTGTTGGTTTAATGACAGTGCAAGTGAATTTTGTTTGTCTTCTTCAAACCCTTTTCTAGTAATAATAAATGCAGGTATGTTTTTATTGTATGTCCAAAGTTCTTTTTGGATAGGGTGAAATGGTTAAAACCTCAGTCAAGTTGTGTAAGCTGGCTAGCTGCTAAGGTGTTCCAGGAAATACATTTTGTTTTGTTTGCTGTGTGCAAAGTCCTTCTATGTGCACCTTATTCTACAAGCTAGTAATAAATACGAGTAGTTGTCATTTTTTGCTTAGCTTGCTGGAATTGATGTGGGGACGCACAGGACATATTGTGCTCTGCTTGGCTTCTGGTGTGTTTCTGTGCCTTCAGGCCCTATGCACACTGGGCATTTGGCCCCAATGCATGAGGCTCTGTCATTTAGCAGCAGGCGGGAAGACACAGGTGTCCCATCCAGCCCCACTGCTGGCAGCCTATAAACTCTAGGAGAAGCTGACAACTGCTGTGGCTGAACGGGTCACCTTGCTGTACAAACATTTAGGGCAGTATGTGCTCAGGGGTGAATGCCTGGAACGCAATCTTCCTGCATTCCGAGCATTCAACCCTCGGTGAATACTGCTCTAAACCTTCATACCGCTCGGCCATTCTGTCCCATCCAGCTGCAGCAGCTGTCAGAGTTTGACAGGATCATAGAGTTTGACAGGCTGCCAGCAGTGGGGCTGAACAGGGAATGTGCCATCTGCCTGCTGCTAAATGCCACAGCCCCATGTACGGGAGTAAATGCACAGTGTACATGGGGCCTTAGCGAGGAATAGGTTCCGTTCAGGCATACATACCCTTAAAGCCTTTGTAAAGCTTTTGCGCAGAGTAGCCCTGAACCTCCTCTACTGGGGTCCCCAACAGTGCTCTTGGCTCCGCCTCTTCTCAGTGTGAGACCATAGATAGCAGCTCGCTCCTATATGGGCTCACTCTACTGATACACACAGTGTGGCCCAGTCCCCGCCCTCCACTCTCTGCTCACAGGATTTGATTGGCAGAAGCAGGAGCCAAAAAAATGTTTTCTTAGTATTTGTTATAAAAGTTTGTAAATAAGTGATTTTTCTCCTTCACTGATGTGCGCTAATGAGGCTGCAGTGATGGGCACTGATAGGCTGCAGTGATGGGCACTGATAGGTGGCACTGATGGGCACTGATGAGGAGGCACTGGTAGGTGGCACTAATGGGCATTGACAGGCATCACTGATGGGCACTGAAAGACAGCACTCCTATATGGCACTGACAGGCAGCACTGACGGGCACTGTTAGGCGGCACTGACAGGCAGCACTGACGGGCACTGATAGGCGGCACTGATGCGCACTGATAGGCGGCACTGACTGGCACTGATAGGTGGAACTGACTAGCATTGATAGGTGGCACTGACTGGCACTGATAGGTGATACTGAAAGGCAGTACCCAAGTCTCCATACCCCTTTTATGGCCAATAACTTGCATATAAGCCTTTAAAATGAGCACTTTTACAAGTTTGAGTCCTATAGACTTGCATTAAGTTCAAAGTTCTCAGTCGAACTTTCCTGAGGTTTGAATGTTCAACTACAAACCGAACAATGATAAGACTCCAATGGGGGCACCTCAAATGAGGGCAAAAAAGAGTATAATGAGGAGCCCTAGACTGTCTGTAGGCCCAAATAAAAGAGAGGATTGTTCATGACCATATTTGGTCAATGACTTCACCCAGGATGCCTGTTGGCTCATTTACAAGCTGGCATGTAATGGTATAGCAGTGACTAGGTCATGCCAACCATTGACCTTGTATGGCTGCTAGTGGTCTTAGCAACCAATAACCAAGAAAGTTGTAATTCTTTGATGGTTGTAATACTACCAGTAAATTAATGACTTTCTGCTGCTTCCAGAGAGCAAAAAAGGCTATAAACATTGTCCAGTTGATAAAGTGTGAACAGCCTGTCTTTGGTGTGGACCCTGCACTGCTGCAAACCAAAACCCCATCCCAACCTCCAATAAATGTCTTGCACGTTGGGTCCCTTGTGCTTAACCTCATTGTACTATATCTTCACAGTCCTAGTATGTCACAATTGCCCTGATGTTACAGGAACAGGAAGTCAGGGGAAATCTCCCCAATAGTTTCACAAACAGAAATAAGCATGATAGATATGTTATCTCCTCTCCTTTCTATGCAAAACCTGATGAAGTTAGGCTTTAAATGTTTATTGGTAAAACAGCGATTAGAATAAAACATCAGTTTAAAAATGTATAGACATGAACTAAATAAAACAGCAATTGAAAAATGTATAGTCATGAACTAAATTAAAACAGCAATTGAAAAATGTATAGTCATGAACTATAATATAACTGCAATTTAAAAATGTATAGATGTGAGCTCAAAACCACTATAGATTATTTTTAAACAAAATGAAAACAAATTGTGTAAGGGATTAGGTGAGTTCAAATTATTAGTCCATTCACTCATATTTCTCAGTGATGGGAGCTGGTAGTGTGTCAGCCCAACCCCGCTAGGACTCTGCTTTCATCCCCAGTTCACAATCACAATACAAGTGAATTAGCCACATTCCAGAGACAGCTGCATTTCAGAAAGCTTTTGTCCTGGAATACAAGGCTGCTTACCATTTTTTGGACGTGCAAGGTAAAAAATGATACTGGGGGCCTGTGAAACCTTCTGTTGGCTCACCAAACTACCATGCTGATACATGTATCTTCCCTGAAGCTAACAGTCACACTTGTCTTTACATTTATTATCTGTCACATACATTATTAGGTAAAAATACTTCACAAAGACACATTTTTTTGTTGCAATTTTCTTTTTCTATATTTTTTGGTAAACATAGCTCCCAGCTGTCCTTTATTTGAAGGGATGGTCCCAATTCAAATTCCAAATTCCTCTGTCCCTTGTGCAGCCTCAGTTGTCCCTCTTTTTGGTCTGATATGTACATCTATATACAAAATGTACTATTTTACTAACAAAAGTGTTATTCTGCACTAAACTTTTTTATCCAACCTAGATTACTGCATTTGTTATTTTGAAAAGCCAATATAAAATGAAACGAGGTAAAGAAAGCACTTGTGTGGTTTGAGCAATCATTTTCTGCACATTAGATCTTTGTGGTCTGTGTAAGTGAAGCTGTGGCAGGGATGTCTCCTTTGCCTACATACTGTGTGCTAAAAGGTGTCCCTCCTTATTTCAGGATGTTAAGAGGTATGCATAGATGACCTGAATTTTAGAAAGGCTTGTACCAGCTAGTCTTCTTCCGTAACCTTACCCATAGTTATGAGTAATAATAAAAAGAACAAGCTCATGGGTGCAATCTGTGGACCATGAGATATCTCAGCTAGGTTGCTGGAATTACTTTCTGTACCATCTCTGTGGAATTGTGAAAAGTTTAGAGTGTAAAATAGGGATGCCTTCAGATATAGAGATGACATCTGAGGTGCTTATGCATCTTAGAATGATCTTCATTGGGTGCTGTAGCAGGCGACTTCAAATAAGAGGAGGGAGGGCTAGGTCAAGGCAGAAAAAGCAGTTGGTTCAGGAGCTGTGCTGCAGGG